CAAAGTAATGGCCACAAAGAGATGACAGAATAACTTTCAGCGAGAAAACAACCAATCACAAGACGCTATTTCTATGCTAACAATAACATATAAAATGTACATAAAAATATGTAAATATCTCTTGATTTCCTCAATAAATGATTTGTTCCCTGGCCGTTGTCTTCTGTCGTTACACTGGTCTTCCCTCTATTAATGTTCGAATGGGGATTTTTCGTGAACTGTTCATGTGTCACCGGTGAATAGTCGATTGATGATAATGAATAATTTATCGGTAATGTGACACACACGGTGTTTGCAGATGATCAAAGTGTGAATGCATGGACTATATTCTGCTACAGTTTTACACTGTTTTTGGGTCAATTTTGTATAAACAGTTTTCTTTTCTACTATTACTGTAACGGTAGATGACGACAGAAATGATAAAGGAATGTTTCGAATAGATATTCAACAGTCGGTCGGTCGGTTTTCGACATAGAACTTAGCACATATGTGCGGCAGTTCAAGTCGCCACACTCCATGTAGCACACAAAGCAAGATATTCAACAGTAAAGTAAAAGTACACAAAAAATGAATAAAAGTGAGCCTCAGATTTGATCTTATCTACATTTTCGCAAACACTGTTAGCGGCTGTTATGCCCTGTTTTTGTGAATAGGTGATTTTACACAAACAACCAAGTTTTTGAAGTTATTCTTTGTTTGTTGATTGAGAGACTGATGGCAGTTACTATCAGTAAGTAAAGCAACTTCAACTAGTCAGGTGATTGTTTCCACAGAAATGTTCACTGAGAAAGTGGGAACGGAATGTTGTGATACTATTTTTCCATCTCGGTAGTTTATCTTCATCAATTTAAGGCGTGCAAACAAGCTATAGGAGAGACGGCGTACATGCATCATAACTGGGAGAATCAAAAAGAAAATAATTTAGTAGTTCCACCGTCATTCTCACACAAGTACTGATATTGCTCTGTTCTATGACATTGGAACGGTAGAAGACGAAGACTTGGTAAAGGAATGTTAATTTGGAATTTGCTGCCGCTGTATGGCGAAATTATGTACACCACTTATCTTCACCATTTGCACAGATCTTCCGTGTTATGCTACTTCTGGACTTCCTTCATATTCTGTTTCTTTCACATCTCACATGTTTCTCCACAATGTTGTATCAGTCGCTTTCTCTGACATCAGATCTATCTTCCTGCTATTTGGTGTTTTCATGTCGATGGGCGTCTTCTCTTCATATACTACTGATAAATCTTATCAGTAACACACATCACACTACTACCAAGTATCGTAATAGTTTCAATACGTGTAACTTTCCTCACGTAGAATACGTACAGACCGTGCATAAACTCAAATTAGTGTATAAGACAGGCTATTTTCCTATTGTCTAGTTCATTAGATGTCCGTCAATGACTGAACCTGACGAAAAATATTCATTGCAGGGATAGTGGAAGCTATGAAGACTCCACAAAGCCAGATTTATTACCTCTGCCTCCTTTAAAGACCCTATCACAGAAAAGCTTTCCCTCCGATTTAACTTCATAGCAGATGGTACTTTTGAAGTCACCTGTCTGATCCAGAATTCACTGAGACACACCTTTATTGTTTGACTCAAATTCAACAACATTCTGCACAGGCAAAAAATATGCAGTGGCAGCAAAGTAAGCAGTGCTTTCTCAACTTATATACTGCTTCAACCTTAGGCTAGTAAATGACCTGTTTCTATAACTCATCGGAGGTTACACCTATGTAACAGATATACGCATGCTAAATCAATATTATACGATGAAGATGCCAAAATACACCACACCGCAAGACTTCGATGACACTCTTCATCTAATTATGATGTCATCAGAACGAAAAGTTTGTTTAAGCGACATGTTATCACTTATTTAAGTCCCAGATAGGACGAAATGAGCACCCTGGATTCCACTGCTAGTCACTATCCACCAACTGACTTCAAATATGTTATCATGGCTAAATCTATTTTAACTGTAAGAAAAAACGATACACAACACCTCACGGAGAATCACAAAAATATGATTACAAATTCTCGACACAAAGGAAACTTGACGAATGTTGAAAAAAATGAAGAATGATAAAAAAAGGAAAAAATTGCCGAATCAACAACAAAAACCATACCAACTAAAATAAAAGCACAAAAACAAATAAACAGGAAGACAGTGAAAAAAACATTCTACGAGTTCAAAAGGACAAACTGCCACTTTACGTCACTTCAGTATGGATCTACTCAGATACTTCTTTAAGCGGCCACACAAAGTTTACATTTACCAAACCTATTACTACGAGTGCGAGTTAGTCACTAACACAATTTCTCAAACGATTGTACATTGATTCTCCTTTAATGATGCCCATTTCTATTCAATTTCATCATAGATGTACTAATGGACTTAACCCTAACTCACTTCAGAGACTCAAGGATTGACTTGTTACCACTAGGGAATAATAATCTCGTTGACTAAGAATATGCAGATGATATAGTCCTCCCTCTAACGTGAAAACGCTGACAAAATGCAGTCTTCTGAATACCTTGAGCTGCAAACTACGAATGTTTGGCATGAGATTCGCTCCCGCCAAATGTAAGATGATGCTACAGGACTGGACTACATTGTCTCCTAGCTTAGAAATAGGGAGTGAAGTGGTAGAACACGTTGACCACTTCACTTACTTGTGAAGTTGCATCAGCCAATATCAGAGGGTTGGTCGCTGATGAAATCTCAGTTGAGTATGTATGCAGAAGGCTGGTTTCGCATATACCACTTTACGCCGTCTCTGGCGTAGACGTGATATCCGACTATCGACCAAATGATGTGTGTATTGCTCATCAGTCCGCTCCGTCCTCCTTTATGGCTGTGAGACCTGGCCATTGAGAGTGGAAGATATGAAAAGATTAGCTGTCTTTGATAATACGTGTCTGCGTTCTATCTCCCGTGTGAAGTGGTATAATAAGGTGAGCAATATTGAGGTTAGGCGTCGAGTGCTAGGTAAGGCGGGGAAATCAATAGACGAAACTGTGAAATTACTTCGACTGAGATGGTTAGGACATGTGCTACGTATGCCTAGTCATCGCCTTCCTCGACTGGCACAGGTTAGCTGATATAGGGCCAGACTGCAAAAGAACTAGCGGTGGTCAAACGTAAACATGGCATCAGTCAACGAAATCTACAACAGTCTAAGCCACGTAGGAAGGCATAGACTTCCTGGTTGGGGTCCTCGGGACGGTGAAAACCAATGGCTGGAAACAATCGGTGATATGGCTCAAAATCGTTCTCGATGGCTGGCACAGATGCACCAACTCCTTGTGACTTATAATTTCAAATGAAACTATATTGTTCTTTTATATTACTATTCTTTTTGCCTCATATCCCTGTCTACTGTCTCTATTATGCATTTCTTCTACTTTCTTCTCTTGCTTTGTGTGCTACATGCAGGGAGTGTGGCAACTTGAACTGCTGTACATCGGTGCAAAGTTCGATGTCGAAAACAGACAGACAGACAATGATGTCATAGAATAATTCCCGTGTTAGACTCCTTCGACAATTCGAGCCCCAACTCTATGTGCAGAAAAACCTTATCCGACCTCTACATACATCATGCTTTCTAAAGTCCTTCTTATTGCATTCAATCCGCAGTAAATAAGTGACAATTATCAGTCCTACCATAATCTTCTTTACACTTGTCCATTGAAAATTATGTGGAGCCTACATTAGCGTAACGACAGACTGTTGGACTACTTAAATGCTGTAATTAACAGCATCCTTTATCTCACTTTCTTTAAAGTAGCTCTAATTCACAAGAGTACTGTCGGGAGTCACTTTTTATTATTATATTTTGATTCTCCAATGGAACATAGGGCTTAAAGCTAGAGCCTTGAAGTTCTGGTAGCAGTGGTATTTATTTTCACGGGATGGAGTTGCTAGCCTCATGCCCAACCTTCCCTCTTTACCAGTCTTATTACTGGCTTAACAAGGTAAAGGAGTGCGTCGGGCAGGGATCGAACCCCTAGCCACCTGCGTGGTTGGCAGACATTTTACCGCTGTGCCACCGAAGGACAGCAAAAGACGCAACTTCAAGTTCTCTGTACATTCGTTCAGTAAAATCGTTATAAAAAAAACTTGGTATTCAGTAAATACTTCATAATTCAGTGAGTTATTGCAATAAGCTGATATGAAATTATGTACCACTGTCAGTGGTAACAAGGGATTGAATAACGAAGTTCATTATCCAGCTTTTTGACTAATATTCAGATTAGACTTAGATTACGACATAGATAAACCGGACTCCAATTAATAATGATAAGATTGAAAATTACATTATTAATTATAACAGTAATGGCTTTATTCCAAACACTACTTTTAATACAATATGGAATTTTCCAGCATGTAATACAATATAGCATCTAACTTTCTCTTCACATTACCTAGTACAGAGAGTGAGAGGAAATAATTAAGGGCACATTTGCACTGATAATAATGAAAAAAAGAATACAAAAGACCGTTTACTTAGTGTTTTGCAGTAAATTACCAGTCCCACGCCTTACACACTTTTCTCATCGCATAAAATGGACGCCGAGTAATCAAATGAAAAATCTTTATGCCAGAGAGCCAATGGCATTTCATGCGGTAAGTTCAGTAGTCTGAGAAGAGAAGTATTTTGTTCAGCCCTTGAATCTCTGATAGCCTGATCACTTAACAACATAGGATACTTAATTTTTGTTTTTTAATAATCGTATTTTTTGCTCCCCTCACTCCCTATTTAATTTCTATCCCGCATTACTAATGTTGTTAATGTCAGTTAGGCTTACTTAATATTTAATTCTAGAACAGTACATTTTTCAAGAACGGCTAACTTCACTAGTATAGATATCACGCCGATCTTTATCTAGCGACTGTTCACAGAACCACCTACTTGAATAAACACTACCAAAGAGTACTACTGAACTTTTGCAACCATATTGAAGAAAGTACTTAAGCAGTGCATAAATAAAGACACGTTTATTTCAAATGCGATGTGTGATATATAAAAATACAATTAAGAAAAGTTGATATATATATATATATATTCTCGAGATTCTGGCTATTTAGCTCTTGTCACCACCATCAGCTGTTTCTTTGCGAACAAATAAATCCCGACGTAATGCACAAAGTTCTTCTACCCATTTTTGGCCTAAATGTGTCTTGAATGTACCTAGAATAAAGTTCACACATAGTTAAATTCCCAAGTAAGACAGAAGAAGTGAAGCTACCTAGAGTATTCTCAAAAAATGATTCCAATTTTCCTGGTTCCCATGTCTCACTTTCATATTCGTAGGCTTGTAACAGCATCTCTAATCTGTGCATACGAACAGTTTTTTTTATGGCATAATTTATGAAATTGCCTACTTGTCAAAATCTTTGCAAATAATAGCATCAGGCGTCTTCTGTTCAGAATACTCCTAGAAATTCGAAATACATTGTAGCATATGGGCAGTAAATAATCTTACCTTCCATAGATTCATAATTTCTGTGCCATTCTCCTCTGAGATCAGCCCACACAAATGTTTCATAGCATCCTGTAGGAGAATAAAATATTATCATTATTACTGTGTCATAAAGAATAGCTACTACACTACACTACACCGATTAACCAGAATTTACTGATAAATAGTCAAAAACTCATCTGAGTAGTCAGCACGTCCCTACTCAGAAAAGAATGCCAGTAAAATTGGTTGGAGGGTTTTCATCATGAGATGAAATCAGTTAAAGAACCATTGGAAAACCTGGGAGTACCGGGCAGCTGTTGCGTCAGCCTAGTTTGGGACTCTTCAGCAGCACGCACCCACACCGAGGGGTTCGAACCCAGGACCTTCTGGTTTCTAGTTGGAAGCCGTGATCACTAAGGTGCGGTGTAGGTTGAAGTTGAGGCAGTAATTCATCGAAGAAGACATTGCAAAGTGGTCACGCTATGTCGTGAATTGGCAGAAGTTACAATTCATGGGCTGGTCATTGGATCGGGTGGGGTCCCAGTGGTTTAATGGTCTACGAGCTAGCTCGCCTTGTAACCAGAAGGTCCTGGGTTTGAACCCCGGTGGGTGCGTACTGATGAAGAGTGTCGAACTAGGGCGAAACAGCTGTCCAGTACTTCCATCTCATGATGAAATCCTCCAACCATTCAAACTAAATTGCTACAAAAACCAATACTTCAGAAATACCAGTAAACACGAGTGGTCATTTGCATATTTTGTTCACAGTCAACATTCAAAGATGCAGCTGCAAACACAATACTTTGAAATTGTCAAAAACCTCAGCAATAGTCTTTCTGATCAGATTTACCTAGAAAAAACAAGGCTTAACTCTCAGACAGTACTCTCAAGACAAGGCTGGTTCACAAGCGCACATCTTTGCGGTTTGAATAATTCCAAAGAATTCCACTCAGTAAATCTTAACCTTTGTATTTCTTTTTTTTGACGTCATATCCATTACATTCACCTAGTCTAACACCAACAATCAATTTTCCAAGCTGTATATGTAATGTCAACATGAACATGCCAACTGTTAATCATCACAATCAGTGTGACAGATCGAATGAGTTCAGCACAAACAAACTTTCTGTCAGAGAGCGGATAAGTATGAAGATGGAATGGAACAATGAATTTTTGACTTCTTTCAGATCAAATTCACACAATTTGCACAGTTCGAGTGGGGGAGGAGGAGGAGGGAAATTTCACTGTAATTTCCTTTGGAAACCAAGTTATTCCCATCACACTATGATATGATCTGCTTGATACGACTCATATGAACCAGCAGTACTTGTGCTAGCCAAATCGAGGTGACCTTAACACCTGACAGTTGTTTCGCAGGTTTGGGGTCGGTGTACCCGGTTTGACCCCGAATGAGAGAAGCAGCCGTCTGGTGTTTAGATTACCTCGATATATGGCTTGCAAGTGCTGCTGGTTCATATGAATCGTATGCAACTACTCATCCCAATAAATCAGTAGTACATCGTTCTGTGCCGATTCCTCCTTTAGACAGACATCATACTTGAATTGAAGGTATTTAGGAACTTCATAATGGAACTATTCTGTCAACTCAAGAAGACAGGAGAGAATTTCAATTGATTAATCATCCATCGACCACTCTTTAATGATGAGAACGTTAAGGCCAGTTAGTAAAAAGACAATTGTATTAAGTCATGACAGACCAGTACGCCTTTCATTCCACTATGCACCTACTAATGTCCATTGAATTACTCTACTTCGCTTACGTCTACTAATCTTTCTAACGGTGAATTCAAATGTCATTCTGGAATTGCTCACTTTATTCTGCGTACTATGACCAGATCAATAACAATAAATGCAGAAGATTTATTTCATTTTATCCTTAACTTCACTACTGTTTACAACTTTCGTAATCAAAGTACGCAGTCATTATTACAACTTAAGCGTACTTACCTTCATTTATAAAACAAGATGTCGAACAATAAAATTAATTGCTGCAATTATATATACAGTGATTCGCATATCTCTTTACGCAAAAATAATGAGGCAGATATATTTGAAGGGAAAAGGGCTTAATCTCAGGTTTCTTGAACGCCTACTGAGAAGTCCTATTGATTAGGCCGCAGTACAACTTTGAACGGTGCAGTTTTACTGAATTTATTTCACACAGAACAGAATAAGCCAATGAGAAAGCCAAAGACTCATGGACTTCGTCTGCTAAATGACTAATGCCTAATGTAGGAATTCAACAAGCAGCTGTTGCAAGTGCCTCTCTTCACCTTGTTTGGGGTCGGTGTATCCGGTTTGACTTGGTTTTTTTTACTTTTATTTAATTATATCATATTTTAAAAAATGTATACCTTGACCATTTATCTGAATATAAAGAAAACAGAGGTAAGTGATGAAGATTCCTGGCCAACAGCAGCAGCAATAACAACAGACTACAATCAGCACAAACGGGAGAAATTTGAAAGAAGCAACCTCCTTTACCTACCCACCTCCCGACCTGGAAAGCATCGTTTCAACTACAGGCAAATGGAATTGATGAGGATATCAAAGCCAGGATCGGGAAAGCAAGGCAAGCTTTCATTTCTCTCAAGTCTGTGTGGAGGTCAACAGCACTCAACATGAAAAACAAGATCCGGATTTTCAACTCCAATGTGAAGTCAGTCAGTGCTACTATACGGATCAGAGACTTGGCGTGTCATGAAGAGCACTTCGAACAAACTACACACCTTCATCAACAGCTGTTTTCGCTCAATACTCAAGATCAGATGGGAGGTCATGTGAAGATAAGATGAAAGCATTTGGGTAGACGTGGAGCCAAGTGAAAACGTTGGCAGAGAACCGAACGCAATGGAGACGTACGGCTGAAGTCCTATGTTCCTCTAGGAACTAAAGAAGACAATAATAATGACATTTATCGGTGTTATTTATTTTTACATTATCATCGTCATCTAGTATACGTTATACTTCAAGTCTAACTAAATGAGCTTCACTCACAGTAAACTTTTTCTACCACATTTCGTTTGTTTATTAACAATTTCCTAACGACTTAAGTAATCTTATAATTTATGCACTGTCATTTCCCGAAAGACGTTGACTACATCATACGTATGATTGCATAAATTTGCTATTGCCTACTTTCCTCATTATTCTGGTTGTAAACGGTTGATAAGATATGGAAAGAATCAAAAATCGATACTTCTCCATGCCTCCTTATTGCTCTGTGTCAAAGTTAAGGATATGAGCTCAACAAAAGCCACACACACCACCTATTGCCATGTCAGATGTGCGTCGGTGGCACAGTGGTTAAGACTCTCGCCGACCATGCCCATGGTCCGGGGTTCGATCCCCTGCTGACGCACACCCGATATCTATGGTCGGCCTGTAAATTTGGGCTACCGATATCCATACTGAAAATTCCATACTTGTACTGAAAATACGGTGTGGAATCAAGCTGTAATCAAAATAATAAAAAAATAACTAACATCCAGGCAAACAATATCCTAACAGCGGTGATATGCCTAGAAAAATATGATCCCACACTGAAAACCGTATGTGTATATTACACTAAACAGTGACACAGTTCTAATGAACATTGTAAAACACTTTAGATAAGTAAAAAGGCGTTAAACTGTTTCTAAGATTTACATATTAATGTATATATATATATATATATATATATATATATATATATATATATAATGTATATATATATATCATTGCATGCACTAACCGTTTCTCTTGACAGTTTCTCCTCTTTCGATACCCCACAATAAGGCGTAATATCGCCAACAATACATTCGGCTAAATCATGTACAATCGCCATTTTTACTAATCTACAAAATTTTAAAAAAGAATTACAAATTGATTGATTAGGAGGTAATCAGTTTCTCTCCACATTTTTGTCTTGTTCACTAAAAGGACTACCAATAGACTTTCGGCTTGAAATGTATTACAGTCAAGCTTTTCGACCATCTGTCGTTCTTTGTAATCAATTTAATAAATTAGTCGTAGCTCAACAGCTTTACGATCGCTTTGCCTAAGGAGAGTGAGAAATCCATTTGTTGTGTATACAGAACGGCAGTCATCACAAAAGCGACCATCAATAGGGAAATGATAACTCCTGAATGTCACAAGCATGTTAGGCACTCCACGCTGAAATCCTTGCAGCAGCAACAATGAACGGATAACAAGATTGACGGAAAGCACACAGAAATATATTAGCTGAAGATCATATATCTACTGTCTCAAACAAGAAATTCAACTACAATAGAATGGATCCTTGTGCAAAAGTCAACTGTCTATGACAAGGTGAATGCAAACCCTTGTTTACTTCGACCTCTTGAGGATTGACTTAACACCAGGGAGAAGTCCCGTTGGCCTACAATACACAAAAGATATTATCCCGTCAAGTGGAGAGGTTGATAAGGTGTACAGTCTTCCGATAGTTTTGAAAAACAAATCAGTGAAAAACGAAACTTTACTTTCATTGTGTGAAAATATCCAGACATGAAATACAAAGCTATCTTAAAATCCACTGCGTAGATAGCCAACGGCATCGATTTTATTTGTGCGTCGGTGGGGCAGAGGTAGAATGCTCGTCAACCATGCGGGTGATTCAGGGTTCGATCCCCGGCTGACGCACCTCTTTACCTCACTAAGCCAGTAATAAGACTGGTAAAGAGGGAAGGTTGGGCATGAGGCTAGCAACCCCATCCCGTAAAAATAAACACACTGCTACAGAAACTTCAGAGCTTTAGCTTGAAGCCCTATGTTCTATTAGGAACGTAAAGGAATAAAAAAAATTCGATCTCATCTACTCTAATCATAGATGTATTGATGTAAATCGAATTACACATTTCATGGATTGACTTAGGACTACCAACGAAGGATATCGCCGATCTAGTGCATACAGATGATAATAGTCCTCCCTGTTGACAATGCAGGCTGTGCAAAAAACACATGAGGAACTGGTTTGCAAGAGTTAGGTTGGGTTTCGTTCAGGCTATGAATAGATTGGCAATGTATTCACCTATCGTCAGCTATTGTAACACCATCTTAGCTTCCTGATATTAGGACTGCCTTCTTTTTGTTGGACAGAACTGCTCTTTAAAACTGTCTGTTAGAGAGAGGTGCATCTGAAAAGTTTGTTAACATTATAGGCTGTATGCAGTCCGTTTTAGGTTTTTGCAATTCATTTTTAATATTTTGCACTCTTGTCTGTTATCCACTATTTCACCACTCAACTAAATAGTTGCTAACCCCCTTGATTGCGTAAAGCTATTCTTAGTTCTTTTAAGAATGGGTACTACTCATGCGCTTTGATTTGCTTTGTAACTAATTGACAATAAACTTTGGCCTATGTTGCCAACCTATATTGCACATATAACCCCCCCCCTTTAAATAACTGTACAGCTTCGAAGTGAAGTTACGAAAAGAGTTCCCCTGCTAACTCATGTATTCTTAATTATATGAAATGGGAATTTTTTTCAAACACATGGAAGATAAACTGCAAACAAACACACAAACCCACGAACTACACAAATAAACCATCATCGCATTAAATTCACCTACCGATCGATGTTCAGATTTTCACGATCCTTTTTTGGAATTACACTAGCCATTAATGCCATCCTGTACATATGATCAGAAACGCTTTCAGGTGCATCGATATTGTAACGTGTCCACCCAGTTCTCACAGTCCGCTGAGGTATAATGGAATTGTGTCAAGTGACAACCCGGAAAGGGAACACAAGTACAAAATAAATAAGTAGATATATTGGTACAATACAGTTAACGAAATATGCGTGATATGAAGTGAGATTGGCTGAAAATCGATAAAATGTCAAAATCGTACACAAGGTCAGATATTATTTATAACTCACTGCTAAAAAAAGGTCTAGTGATTATCACTGAAATGTATAACTCTCCAATTTAATCGAAAAAATCAATATTTGGATCAGACTTGAATAAAAACATCTGAGACCTCGATCCACAGATGCGTACATTTTTATTAAACAATGGCTCCAAACCATCTTCAAGCACAATATTCTCGTCTTCTTAGCTAAAAATCAACTTTGCTGGCTACCAGTTCTCTAAAAACAGTTTGGAAGAATCGAATCCCTAGCTTTATTTACAGCGGCAGTAGAAAGACCATCACCCCAGTAGAAATGAGCAGAAAGTAAATTATTAAAGTTGAATTATCTAAACGAACAGCACCAAAACTAGCATGTTTAGACACTATGACCACATTCCTGAACGCTGAAAGAATTTCAGATTCTCCACCAAATCAATTATTCACATAAAACGGATAGATAAACAGATACTTCATGATTCATTTCAATAGGTGATGATCAGTCTAACCAAAGTGAATGTTCGTTGAAAGCGTCTATTAATCGAATGTTTTGTGGAATCAGTCTGACCTAAATGTAATCAATCAATAGAATGATCCAATCACGCAGGAAAGAATCATCTAGTTATTGTCACGACACACAAACACAAACGACTTTTTAGAGTTGAGCTACATGGTGTGAAATATTACACTTTTATTTGCTACATTCGAGCTACCATTGATGTTATAATGACATAATTTCTGTATGGAATTATACTATGATTTCAAACGTGATCCCAATGCCTTACTTAAATTCAGATGGTCATACGATGGCTGCATCTCACAGATTTTCAGCTTCAATCAAATGCTTAGAGGGCAGTAAATCGTTTGGGAACAACCGAGTTGATGTACCTAGGTCATATCTCAATCAGAGAAGTCGGTCCCTCAAGTTAACATCACCAATCAAAAGACTCTCCAAAATGTTCAGCCTGATTATTCAAAAAGTAAGGCTGCCGAATGTGAGCAACTCTGAAGAAACAGCGATGACAGCTTAAGTTTCAAAAGAATAGGGCGAGACTGAGCTCACGGGAACATTGTAAAATCTGACCTACGTTTGTCTGAGTGACAACGCTAGAAGTGATCACAGATGGCGTCTGTCACTCTTACTTCAAATAGTACGATGAGAAAATTCATCAGTCAGTTTCTAACAGATTAAATCCGAGGACTGTATTTCCAATGTGCAACTATGGCTTATCGATTTATTTGAAGCTAAAGAGAAAAGTAATCTGGCAGACAATGAGAACACAATTATCCAACGGCGTGTTTAGCCCACCTGCTTAAACTGTGAAGAGAGACTAATTTCAGCTGCAGCAGATTACTCACAAGGCACTCGAAGCATGGATGTTATCAGTCTGAATATAAGCAAAGTCGGAAGATATTTTTAGGTGCACCTATCCAATTAAAAGCCATAAAAAGCCATTCGATGAGGCTCAGAGAACAGTAAGAAATTCCAGAAACGTATGCTCAGAGCAACTAACAGTTTACCCAATAACTGTGACCTGCAGTCAACAGAAAAATCTGAAGAAACTAAATAGGCACCAACGATATCAACAGATAGAACAGCAATCGCCAGTATTTCATCCACAAGCAAGTCCGGTAAGATCAACTGGAAAATTCTTAGTAACCGTTTAAAAAGTGTCTGGGTATTCAGTAACCCTTTATTGATCATTTGCAAAGGTCATATTAAGGACAGAAATGTTATATATATACATATATATCACGTTTCAACGTTGATGCATAGACACATGTCTTTACAAGATCCTCGAAGAACCAATCTATCTGGAATCCAAAATAAGTCATACTTTCCACATTGTTACATTTACCTGTGACTACTGAGTAATCATATGGTGACGGCAATTACTCCCGACGCGTTTGGACTGAAGACAGGAGTTAAACAAGGATGTCTGCCATCACCGAACATCTTTCCGTTTGCGATGGACCAGATCACGAGGGACAGTGAGAAGTGTAAGAAATACACTGAGCCGACCAGTCAATGTGACCAACCCCCTAATTATGCTATGCATTGTTTCATTCCAGGCATCAGATCTAAAGAAAATTTCTTATCTAGGATGCCATAATCCATAATACACAGTTGGATGTTTGAAACAGTCAGGGAATTGAAATTTCAAACAGTATCAGTTAAATAGTACGTCAAACACAACCCAGGAAGATAACCTCAGAAAATCATGTCGAACACATTACGCTAACACTATTATCAGATTATAGCATCGAAATCACGAATAGTAACGCTATGACATCTGACAACTAGAAAACAGATAACATCTAAACTATTTTACCAGCTTCGGCATCCAGCTGAAATAAAATAAACTCAGTGTACACCTTAGGTGGAAAAACGATATGGCTCTACTGCATCAATACAACTCGGTGTTGTTGTTAACATTCATCAAGTTAGAAACCAGGATGTGATTAGAATCCTGGAGGATTTTTCGCTTCAGATAAATACTATGTGAACATCTTTGGACCATTAGCGAGGGAGGTGTCATTTTCTGACTACGAGGTGAAGACTGCACAGTAATACTCGGGCAACAGTCATCTACAACAGTCGTCCACTTCAACCAGTGATGGTCTCGAACAGTGAAACAACGATCGCAAATTCAAGAAATAAAGCTTAATCGTGAAGGCTATTATCTAATCATCTGCCAGTTAATTCAAAGCCACTTGAACAGAGACTGTATGTAGACATTCTTCTTACCGTCAGTGAGGCTTTTTACTCCGAGACGATATTTATTTAGTCTTGGTCCTTCTTCCCTATCAGGTGTTTCACCTTTATTTGAAATTCTCCTACTTAATTATTGTCTTGAGGTAATGGGATGCAGATTGGTGCGTTTGATTTCGATAGGCAACTTACCCGGCATGATGCACCAGCAACTTTTATGCTGTCTAGTCAGTCAGAGTCAAACCACCAAACGAAGGTTAAAGAAGAAACCCGCGTAACCAGTAGTAATAAGTTACTCAGCCATAAAAAATCAACTAAGCGAACTTCTAAAGTAGAGAGATAAACTGTCTAATTTCGCCTCTTCTACGTGTATCTGCCAATTTAACTGCTCCTGTGGAGCCAGTTACACTGGTCGTACAATTGGGCATGTTTCTCGTCGGATTTCCGAACATCACCCTACGTGGTTAAATAAAGGACAAACAAAATCCATTCATAGCTCTATTCTATCCCATCTTGTGGATACACAACACAAGATTGATGTTAAAGAGGCTTTCAAAGTCACTTACCCCATACCGACAATCGTCTACTACATATTGCTGAGGCCGATGGGATCCACATTAACAAACCTAAGTTATGTGTCCAAAAGGGGCTGGTTCAGACACTTTCCTTACCTTGGCCATCAAGGTTCCAATGATCCTCAATTTTTAGTGGAAATTTCCTTAATTTTAGTTGATATTCTATTTGCTATTATATTTGTATGCTTATAATAATTTATGCATCTTTAGTGAACTGTAATTCCACTGATCTTACTTAACAAATCGATATAATTTGAAAAAACACCAATATTGTTAATGACGACTATTCTAGAATATTCGATGTACATTAAACATATATATATATATATATATATTTGTGGAGCCATAAGAGAAAATTATCGAAAAGGATATTCTTTGCTCAATTTTTTTTTGTTTTTTCTACGTGTCTGAATGAAAATTTTAGCTATACAGAGAAAAGAGTTTAGATACGGAAGTGTTCGACTATTCTAGAATGTAGCACTGGTAAAACACCTGGATTACTGATTAAATCAATCGATTAAAACAGCGCGAACCTATGCACACATGTTCATCGATTCAAATTAGGAGAATTCAACATAGCAATGAAACCGCAATAAACTAGGATATACATTAACGAAGTTCAACTGAATAAAAATCAGTACATATTTTCGGAAGCTGTAAATTAGTGGAAAATAAATAATACATCTGTCACAGTGTAAACGTTTTTCAGTAGTGTGTCTTTCTTAAGATCTTGAGTACTTCAGTCAAACAATTATCTTATAAAGTTTTTTTTCCTTCACGTTCCCAGTGGAACATAGTGCTTCAAGCTAGTGGCTTGAAGTTTCTTTAGCAGTGTTTATTTTACAGGATGGGGTTGCTAGCCTCATGCCCAACCTTTCCTCTTCACCAGCATTATTTCTGGCTTAGTGAGGTAAAGGAGTGCGTCGGCCGGGGATCGAACCCCGGACCATGTGCTTAGTATATATATATATTCTGGTATAGTTTAAGTTGTAAGCAGTTGCTGAGAATCCGTGAAATAATGATAAAAATGAGCTCATATTATATTCGCCATATTTTCTATTGTTGCTTTATTCAAGTTTCTCAATAGGAAGTATTGTATGAAGCAGCTTTTAAAGAATACAATCTCCAGAACCTCAGCCACACTTCATGGGCTGATATAAAACTTCTCAGCTGCCCAACCAGGAGTGGGTGGGACACAACGATTGGCTTTGGACCACATTGACTGAAATTCCAGTGCTCAAGCCAATAAGTCACATTTTGTGTTAACACAACTCTTTAATACGTTTACAATTTAGTCTATGCGCAAAATGACATGCATTTGACACGCAACTCTACTAATTTGTTATTCGAAAGCTTAAAACAATGACTACCAAAACCTCTAATAATCTTGGGTGCATAATCGTTCGTGAAGTCAGATCCGATCACCTGCTTCCAATAAACGTGCCTATAATACACGGTAGACGAAACAACAGTATGCAGGTACAGGTACAGGTACACACGGTAATGTTAACAATAATCACTTTAAAAAAAACTTTTCAGATTTCTTACTTTCAGTTTTCCGCAAAGCAGAAGAAATTTTAGTATGCCGGAATCAGACATTCTCTAAAAATAAATCACCAATCAGCATTATTATTATTATTAAAAATTAAAAAAACGAAACTAGAAAGAACAAGACTGAAAACTAATTCAAATATTTATTTTCGCTACAAACAAATGTACTCATAAAAAAAAATAATAAATTAGGACTTTTTCCCAAACAATCCAAAAGAACTAAAATATTTTTTCAGGTTGCAATTGCTACAATGACTACTGTTCGCCCAGGCGAAGAAATTCTTCACATCTAAAGCAAAAATATATATATATAAGCCACCTGAAAAAAATACAACTTACTTTCATTCCATGTTCCCCGCATATCCTCTGGAAACTTGAAAAGATTATCAAAGTACACTAGAGGTTAACGTACTTGATTGACAAAATAAAATAAACGTGGTACCACTTCTTTGACTTTAACAATAGTGTCTACGTTTCTGTCTGCTGTACCCCATATACCTTCAGCAACTGACAGATAGCCAAAGCCTGCAACTAAGCCTATCTTTGAGACTGTTCTATAAATATTAAATGAGACATGCAGTTACTAACCGAATAATTCCAGTTGCCATATTTCACAGAATAGCAGTTGATATACTCTTGTTGGGTGGATTTTATCAACTATTGTTGAAGGAATAATAAACCAGTTAGACAAAGATGTCCGGTTAGGCAGTACACTACAAAACAGAGAAAAAAAATAAATCATATAATTTCCCCTAAAAATAATTTAGTTACAGTACATATTAAGAAATACAGCTACTGTCGGGTGTCAGTACACTTCCCAAGCCTTAACAGACAAGTCCGTTTTCCCAGGATTTGACGTCACCTACCCTTTAGATCTGATTATGGACCGCAGGATTTTATAAACCATGTTGATGGAATAATTCCTGTGTGGAGACCATACGACGCTTCTACTCCTCCCTTGGAAACTGACATCATCATCAATGATTAAGAGTGACCAAAAAGAATCATATCTAACGCCTCAACCAGTCTCAGTCAGTTTAGCTGACAATCATGAGCCATCATCAATAAATAACAATTGGGATAACCCATCATGTCTCAGTACCCACCCTCACTTAAGCTCACAACTTTCTCAATCCCTAAAAGCTTAAACTCGGGGTATAATTGGACTAGTTGAGAAATCAAACGCCTATGGAGGTCAGGTGAACTGTTCATCAGAGTCCCCACTCATTCTCCCTATCTGCTGGATTCAACATAGAAATTGGCACCGAAGTGCAGCAGTTCGAGTTGCCACGTTCCAAATAGCACACAAAGGTAGACAGGAAAATGAGAGAAGAGAATCAATAGAATTTAGATAAGTATAAGAGTGAAACAGAATGAGTAATGGTAGAAAGGAATATGAAAGATTACAGAGACTGAATACATCTGCGCCATTGACAACGATTTTGAGCCATGTCGCCTATTGTCTCCAGCCATTGATTTTTAGAGTCCCGAGGGCCCCAACCCGGGGCCTATCACTTTGTAAGTGAACTACTAATTCGTTTTTCTGGTTATAACTCAATTAACCCCTTGACTTTTGGTTTTCTACAGCAACAATCTCATCAATTTTAATAGTTATCTGTTAATACTAATCACCGTCTCTTTCTTCATATCTTTACCACATACTGTCAAATAACTCCCACAACGATTACATAGACTATTTCATTATCCCCGATGCCTCATAGGATGCATTTTTCCCATCCACTAGTACTAAAGACCAGTCACATAAGAAACGTATGAGCGCTAGTGCCGATTAACAAGTGGTCCAAATCTTTAGTGGTCGATTCGAGTTGTGTCTAATTAGGTTTGAAGTGCATCTTGTCGGACAACAATCCTATATTTTTTTAAATTACTACTGGACAACAATAAATGATTATTTGAACACGGTTGTGGTATACAATCGTCGCTATCGGTTCATTTGGTGAGACTCTCAAATAATTTTTTTATTTTGATTACAGCTTGATGCCACACCGTACTTTCAGTACAAGTATGACATTTTCAGCATGGATATCGGTAGCCCAAATTTTGCAGGCCAACCATAGATATAGGGTGTGCGTCGGCAGAGGATCGAACCCCGGACCATGTTCATGGTCAGCGAGAGTCCTAACCACTGTGCCACCGACGCACATCTCTCTAAGCGCCTTCCTGTGTAGTTGAGCCGCCAGAACTTGTGTGTGGAACTCGGCTTTTTGTAATATATAACAAAGCTTTTAATGAAGTCCTTATTTTTAAAATCCAAGTTACAGTAGTTTAGTAGGTTGAAACTACAGAAAAAATCTATAAGCCACAACGCTTCTTAGGTCTAGCAACACTAACCACACAAAACGGCACACTTAAACACAATCTGACATCCTATTGAGCGGTATGCTCTTCATTCTTAAATTATTGTTACATTATAAATCAGCAAGTATGGGCGCTTGTAATCCCTGATATCCGCATTGTGAAATATACGGTTCTACAACACTAGTCAGATGAAACGAAATAAATGGCCACATTTGGATTATGTACGTGCGCATAAATTCATTTCAGTCACCTTCAACTATAGGAATATACTGCCTGAAATTGGTCTGAAATATTCTGAATCAAACTTCAGGTCAAACTCTTAGGAAGCAATTATTTCAGACAACTATCTGCTTCAGATCAAGAATACCAAAGCTATTAACGAAAGCTGTGACAATTCAACGAAAACCTCAATTTAACTCTACGTTAATGCAACCCATCGCAAATCAAAACAGTCAACTCTTAACCATTATACTTATACTGTTATTCTCAAATATGCACTATCTACAACCTTAGCACCTGCTCTTTATTTCTCTCAGCCTACCTGCACCATTTTAAGTAGCTAAATAGTTGCTTTCAGAAAGTTGTCTGGTGGTGTGATATATAATATGAATTTTTACATTACATGCACATACAAAGTTCGCACATTTATACAAACAGACAATCGGAATCCTGAGATGTCTCTCGCTACTGATGTATGCTTAACCTTGTAGACCTAAGCAGAAAATTTCAGTCAAATGCAAAGAACAAATTTCATATCTGTGAACCCAAAAGGTACACTTCATGTGTATTTCCGGGGACCCTGAGGCACCGACATTTTGACTACATAGTATTGTGGTGGTGTGATACGGACAATGTGTTCCAAAGGAATATTCTCACACATCCCCACAGTTCAATATGATATAAGCGACAGAATACTACGTATTTGAACATTTTATTTCATGTTGTTTAATGTAAGCCAAAATCACACGCTCAGTGATTGGTTGAAGAATATAAACTGCATATATATAAACAGCGGTTTGATCAATGAAAAATATACCTTGGCTTTTGGGTCTTGCTTTCTGCTGTTACAGTATTAGTCTTGTGTTTTAGGGCGTAGAATGCATTTAGGTTAAGAAGCGACAAAAGAAGAGTTGGATTGCCGTGACCTCTACCTACGTGACGATGGACTGCATCCAATACCCACTTTCGGCACAGTCATTACCAGTTTTCTTCCTGGCATTCTGTTCCGGTAGCTCAAGACTAAACTCAAATAGACCCAATTGCCATTAGCGGCTCATAAGATAGATGTAATTTTCCCTTGTGACTTTCCATATTCTGAAAATTCCCATTATTTTCAACCAAACTGTTCTTCCTTTCGTACATTTTGGCCCAATATAACCCAAAAATTTGCTTACTTTACTTTAGTGTTTGTCGAAAATGTGGCAATTTGAACTCCTGCATTCTTGAGCCAAGTTCTACGTTGATAATTCAGTTCACTAGTGTTGCGAGTACATACAGGACTACTGCAACTTCGGGATACCTGCCTGCACTTCGATTACATTTCAGTCTGTGCAAGATGGATCTTGAGTTGTAGTGTTCACTGTAAACGTCCCCCTGAATACAACGTATTCATCTTTCTTAAGTACAGTGCTTTATAGTTGACCGACACCGTAATTTTAGGTACTCAAGAGCCATAGCCCACCCAGTTGCGACAACTTAAACACAGTACTTTCCAAAGATTGTGGCAAAGCTCTAATCAAGGAACTACAAAAGTCCTCTGTGAAGATATGTAAAATTGAGTGGCATATCAATGTAGTAAGAGGTTTCCATTGTGTCTGTCTCTTCAAAAGAATCCTATGCAATGTGATAATCATTGAAGTACTAGTCTATTAGCAACTAGAAAGAAAATTGTGACTGCTGCCTAACATAATCGGCTACAAAACGCTCGAGAAACTAATTCGTGAAAGGCTGTTCAGTTCTGTCGGGGTGATGGATGCACCGATCACGTGTTCAACACCTGTGAACAGCTTCTAAGTAAACACATATTTCGGGCCGACAATACTAGAGTTGTCTTCGATCTGTTAGACAGGATTTATTTGGGCAATCGCGTAAGTGATCCGAGAACACTCGAGAAACTCATGTACATGGGTAGTTATGTGAGTTATGGTGGAGATAAAACGAATACAATACAAAAGGCAGCATACACCAACCTGGATTATGTTTAGAGCCCCGGTAATGACAGATTATCAAAGGTTGAATTTATGGCATTTAGGTGTGTCTAGCTTTGGTCTCAGCCTTTAAATCCTGGTTTTTGGACTAACTAAGTGCTAATACTCTGCGAGTTTGATCACTGCTCTCTTTACATAATCGTTTGCTACTGGCGTCGATATAATGCATCCCCAGGTCAGATGTCACATTTTCGGATCATGTGCAGACTATCTTTCAGTAATTAGTGTCACCTGGAGACACCGGCTTCTATGTCTTGAACATGTACTACGAATTCCACTCTATAGGCGTTGAAACCGTTCACTGAGAATGATTAGAAATAACGGTGTAGTTATCCCCGATGTCACGTCCTGGACTAACATTTGTTCATGCATCAAGACCCCCTAGGTGAGGAGGATCTGTGACTGAAGTTTTTATACCCTAAGACAAGGCTTACAATCGAAATTAATTCCCATTATTCTGATGATACTGCTGAAGTACCGCCCGCTCTTTAGAATGTACTGCATAAGTATAATAGCGGAATTCCGTCATTCAGTAAATGTTTTTCATTTCCTTTGTTGTAACATTATTTTGCGTAGTGCATCTCATTATTGTTAATACTAACCAAATCATAAAGAAATAAACGGAAGAGGAACAAGATATTTCATGCAATCATTAACTTATCACCATGCAGGCATTATTGTGTTACTGTTGAACCCACTAAATGTCTAAAGCATGTACATTACGATGACAGTTTCAGCAACTATAAGCAATAGATAATAAGCAATAAATAACGCGGTGATGAACCTCTGCAGTATACAGATAGTTAAATAAGCCTGCAGCAAAACCAAAGATTACTTATGATTCACACAAGCACAAGGGAAAACAAATTGGCGATAAATGACTGCATAGTTTTAACCACAATTTATTGATATACAAAATGTAGGCAAAGGACACCTATGCAATAAATTTATCGTCTCACTTATATAATGAATAATGTAATACTCAATAAGCAACTTAAGGAAGCCCTTAAACAAATTGAATCCATTACCATGTGATCTTTTAGTCAGATGTCCAAAACGGAGTTTTTATGAACCAGGCAATGAGCTACATTTGTGTGAAACTGATGAATTCATTTAAATCTCCACGTTTGAAATAAGTGGCTTTGAGCGGAAATCCACTCTACAACCCTTTGGGCCTTTATAGAATGGATTGGTGTCATGAAATATTTGGTCATAAGAGTTCAGCACAACATTAAGTGAATACCCAATAAAGGAAAAACAAACGAATCTTGGTATTAAGCTACACAACTCTAGAAGTGAAATGGGTGAAGGGTTAAAATTTTTGGGCAAGGAGTCACATTAGGTAAATATTGGGCTCTTTTATATCGGGACATTTCCTAAGCATTTGGCAGAATACGGAATCTACATCCGATGCCGGATTAATTAAGAGTAGCGTTTGTCATCTTGTAATGGACCAAAGGAAATATTGACCTCAGTTACAAATGGAAGAAAGCCCAACTGCTAACAAAGAGAAACAGTCAGGTAGAGTAGAACACTACAGTTGCGTCTTTGCGTAGATTACCATCATTCATACTTGTGATGTTGATGTTGGCGCACCAACACCACTTGTAATCAAAACAGTTAACACAGTGTTTATAAAGCTTATTGCAACATTTACACATACTACTCTCCCCAAAACAACAGCCAAAGCTACAGAAAACTCAAATATACGTAATGGAAGGGTAGGAACTAAATCGTGACAAGTGTTAACATAAGTTTATTTCCTCAGAGAGTGCCTACACCCATATGAGTGGAAAAAACTTAGCGTAAAACCTATCGTTGCGCCCAATTCAGACCTAGGAAAAATTTCCACAAAGTAGACGCAACGTTTGTCTTGACTCTCGGTACATAGATAGTCAAAGTAAGTACACACATGCTTAACGAAAAAAATTAATAAGACAGTATCGATTAGAGCGATTAAAAAATACACTAAATCCAACCACGTGATTCACCCGAAAACACGCAAGCATTGGGTGTGTAAGAACCTTTCCCAACTACAAAAACACGAAACCACATACAACACTCGCCTTGCCCCCAGTAGCGACACAGTAGCGCTGCTATTTAAACTGCAAATCAATATCTCACTTCTTTGAGTTGGGCGTGTTCGAATCTATTGATTTCTCACAGCACTCTTTTGGATGTTTCAATAAACTCCACTGAGAAAGACTCATCATCTTAGTTATTGTACATTTGCTGAGAATTTTAAATGGAGGCAAGCTAAACATTGTAACTACACATCTATGCGTACAGTGTGATGAAATGGAGAGATCCAATCTGCTAATTCGTCATGCGATGCATGCAGACATTCGTGAATACCTTAGTCAACTTCATGACGACAGCGTGCTCCAGAGTGCAGTACTCCAGCTAGGACAAGTGCATTAACTTCAACGCTAGTTAGACAGAGAGGCCCGTCTTTTGAAGGATAGTATCTAGGTCCTTACTTGTGAATACCAGGAGTTGTCCGATTCACTGAAAAAATGGAAACCTTAAGATGGTAGTCGGAGAATCAGTCATATAGACAGCTGGTTTTCAGGAGTTCTTGGTTGCTGTTTATCAACTTCAGTTGATTTCACTGATTGAAGCTTTGCGTGCAACTTTCAGGTCGGTATCAAGTAAGACCCTTACTGTTTTCCGGTAATTCCACCGAGCTGATGCTACTTGCATTCCAATTCCTTAGTAAAGACTCTAGGGAAGTCCTCTTCTTTATTGATTAAGATGCACGTGTTGATAACAAGGTCGGAAACTCCATCACTCCTCTTGTTCCCACCCTTCTTATACAAGTATGGTTTCTTGGGGTGCTTTGTCTATTTCGCCCCTGGTTCATTTCAAACACCATTCGATTTTAGCGAATTACAGTAGTAAATATATATCATCAGTGGTCTCTGAAATGCAAATGATGATAAATGCTCCTCAGAGACTATTGCGGCGAGTAATATGCAACATGTGATGTCTTCTGCAAAAATAGTGAATAGTGATGAGACCAAGTGCCACCGGATACAGAGGATTTTTATCCAAAAGAAATACGACTATTTTGTTGTCAGTCATCTGGACATGTGAATACAAAATCCGTAAACATCCACGTCAGTTAGAAATCATCACAAGTCCTCACGATTAATTTTCAGTGATTGAAAATGTACCCAAAGAAGTCGTCTCAGTCTAGGCACCCTAAAAACCGCAACACATCAACTGAGATTCAAGTGTATATAAGTGAACTACTACAGTCATTGACAAAATAGAGGAAAAATGAGCCAACAGCCCTGTCGCCCCTCCAAACTTCAGCACACCAGGTTTCAGCCCTGTAGCAAACCTTCCAGACCTTGTCGGCTTAAATGAACAACATAGATTCTACGCATGTACACCGAAATAGTGAGATCAGATAAGTCTGTTACTTGCCATTAAACCTAGCAGTCACTCTAGGAAAATCATCCTGTAATGGAGAATAATACCTTAGACCTGACAAGTCTGCAGAATGTAAATGCACCGGTAACCATAGAAGCAATAATAAAATATTTATTTCTTTTACATGTCGCTCAAATTTTCTGCCCGATAATGGCATGACTTGTGAGGCTATGGTGAACACAGAGAGAGAGAACGCACACTGAGAGGGGGGATATTTGTTACCCAGTATGTCAACTAGTTCATAATAATATTTGCCATAATTGTGGCGGTATTTGGAAGGGATAAATTCAGTGGATGGTCTAAGTATAGATCCCAATATCACCGCCGCTTTTGTAAGGGAATTACCTGGGGTCAACTTGGGAGTGCGCTGTCTGCTTTCTGCAACTGGATGACTGACATCGAGTATGGTTCGCTGTTACTTAGCATTTTCGCAGATCCCCTGGCGCCTTTTTCACGTTGTATTCCGAATGTATCTAATGGGAAGCTGCTGAGTGTTGTCTTTTGTTCGGGGGTGTTCGTCATGGTGTTTGGCCCACGTGTCCCGTTCAAGTCCCTTTTGTGACTGCGAAAGATTTCATGTCGCGCATGACATCACAGAATGTTTTCTCTCCATGCAGGCATGCGCCAACTGTACAGGCATGGATGAATTACTTTTTAAATTTATGGTGGAGTTAATTTTTTGATATTGTTTCAAATTAGGAATCAGTCTGAACAGTCAATTCATATATGCAGCTTATTAAGAAATACAGAAGTATCGTCTTAGCACTAACGGAAGGTGAGCGATGTCTGTGATTTTCAGCGTCAATAGCGACATCAATAAAATTTGCTGTAGCCAGAAGACAACTCTCTGGAACTCAGAATACCGTCTTGTGTATACAACAGCCAACTTGATTTTAACGCAAGTGGTATTATAAAAAAGACGGCTAGCTGAAGATCTTTTTATTCACCAAGTGTAAGCCAATTCGGCAATTTAATTATAAAGTAGTTTGATCATGTGATTCTCAGGTGTTCACTATCAAAACACTAAAAAAGTCCACAAATAACATCAGTCTTATATACATTGCTACTTCCGATCGTACCGCTCTAGTCTTCTGCCAACGAGCAAACGTCTAGGCCACGGTAGAGATTGCTGTGTCCGACGAACAGAAAACTGGTTCAACTGAACACATTCGTTGAACCCCCACACAATTTTCATCATCACTGTCACACAGTTCTCAAATAACTGTGAAGAAGTGAAGCTTGAAGTCAGTTCTACTACATGTTATTGCTTAGCACCTTATTCTTGAATCTATAGTCACCGCCATGTTAATTCAAACTCATTTATACATTTATTTCGTTTTTCGTCATTCTCACAGTAACCTCACATTAGAAGTGAGTTATTTTCTGTGCAAACGAATAATTTGCTATTGAATGGTAAGTAAGGTTGTGGATGAGGAGCTGGAGTTATTTTGAACGAATAGCTTGAAAAACGATATGGTGAATGCACGATGGGTAACATCAAATCTGGTTTAAAATCAATCTACCTGAGGCAAACGCAATCACACACTGTGTTTATTGGCACACACTGTCTTTTAGGTGTTCATACTACAACAGTCCCTAAGTTTCTTCTCTCACAATAACTATATTGTGATAAAGGATAGCATAATGAGTCATAGTCTAACACAGGCAAACCACCTTATGAATCTAAAATTAAGTCCCCATTCTAATCATCACTGCCTGAAAACCCACATAGTTAGCAAACATAGCGATGTGATATAAGTGGGAAAGGATGTCACGCTGAGGAATTACCAGTCTTTTGAAAGTCCATCTGTCAAGTCTAATATTGCATCTTCAAATGCCAAAGTTTTACTTTACACACCGCCTTACACTTTTGTGTAAATTATGCGATTTGTGGTTCATATTAGATCGCTGTGCAGATTATATATATTTATTCCTGTTTATGCAGGAACATACCAATTGTACAGGCATGGATAAGTTACTAAATAAATTACACATGTTTCGATGTATGTTGAATTTACAGTTTGTTCTTTCTGACATTACAGTCAGTCGGAACAGTCTGCTAAATAGTCTGTCTGTGTAACACATAAAGAGATATAGAAATATTGTCTTCGCATTTACAAAAAACCCAGACATCAGATGAATGTAGTACAAATATCTGGGAAAAATAAAGCTTGAATTCAATTCTCCTATATAACTTTGTTGTGAATAGCATCCTTGAGTTAAAGTTTATTAATGTATTATTTTGAGGTCATTGATGTATTTATTCCATTTTTTCAGCAGTCTAATCGTATTTTTATAATAGGAAAGAAATTTGATCGTGGATACGAAAACTAGATAAGGTCATGCTGGATTGTTTTACTGCATGGAATGGGGCTGAGGTCGATTCTAGAACTATCCATTGGCGCCAATTGTGTCAGCATGGCAGACTCTACATGTAAGTTTAGTAATACATTGTCAGCTGCAAGCCACTTTAGCTATTGTGCTCTTGATATTTGGATGACAGTTAACCTCAAAACTGAGGAATAATAAATCTTGCAGTATCTACAACAATTTTGGTCTACAGTGCAAATCGATTCGACTCAATTTTGTTTAGTTTTTGATTTTGTGCGGAGGACTGAAGTGTTTACATGAATGTACTAGCGCCCTCAAAACAACGTCTTGACTAGATGAAAGAAGATCCATCCAGCGAGAGTAAATCCTTTATATGTGTTGGCTTCTCTGTCATTCCACTTTCCACTTATTTTTAAAAGTTATATTTTTCCATTTGAATGTTATCTCACTTGCTTAACAAGTTAAACTTTCCTACAGCTATCCCTGTAATGGTATTAGGTATTGCTAGATTAGAAATAAGGCTTCATGTACGCTCCACCATTAATTATGTTCAACCAACACGAGGCATTCATTCTCGAAGGTGTTCCTACCTCTTCGATACCTCATAATACAGGCAATATTTTCGTGTTTGTAAATGTCCAGGTCTAACTACACTGGACTTAGTGCTGTCCTTAGAAGACCTTCAGCAACAGTGTGCAGTAACCAACGCGAAAAACCAGAACGCAGATTGGTGACTACAGAATCCTTTATTCTTGCACCAATAAGGAACCAACAATAAGGTTATTATACACAAAGTCTAAGAATAAATGTCATAACAATTAATCGCAATAATAATTCTGATAGTATTTCTCCGTCTTCTAACGAACAGCGTACGATGGAACAATGACTGCAGCATCGGCGAATCCCACCAAAATATGGAGTTGGTTTTGAGTAAACAACCATGAATTGATCGTTCATTCTTCAACTACATCGACACTCCCCGGCAAAAATGGGATTCATCCCCTTTTTCCATCACGACTAATACACTTTGACTTGGATGCTAGTGCGAGAACTTGGGCCACAAGGACAAAGCTGAAATGGAAAACAAAACTACAAAGCCAACACACCGCAGGCATACTCACAGTACAATCTCACTCTTCGACGACGACCTACGCCTTTCAGTTAAAGGCATCCTCTTGACATCTTGAAATACAGTCGCCACTTGCTAGAACGACTCTTGCAGAAAGCAACATGTTCATAGCAGCACCTCACGATACTCTTCGCACATCCTCTTATCTATTCAGTGTCAATTACCACTGCTATCACTTGTTACTCATTCCGCCTCAGTCCTAGTAACGGTGACGTATACAAGCCTCAGTCGTCTACACCCTCGCTCCCCGGCGTGTGGGACCCCAGCATAAATCGAAACATTCATTCTCAATCATTGGTTCTACAGCTAATCCTTGTCTATATGTGCATGTGATTCGCAGCACTAGCCTCCCCGGCGTATACGAGC